TCAACCTTGAGAACAAAGGAATGAATGTTTGCCTAATTTAGAAGTTTCTTTCAGTCCCTGAAACAACAGGAGCCTTTAGAAAAGGATGGAGTTGCTGACCTTATATATTCCTAGAATCTACTGATAGTACAATGGTGGAGGAACTCAGTCTCCCCCTTCTTCACATGCACATACAGACTGGCCCCTGAGAATGTTGCCAGTGTTGCAATAACGCCAAGTGTTGTAATTGTTGTGTCAGTTGATACAGTATGAATGGTTTTCTCTCTGTACACACAATCAGGATAGTGGATCTAGGACTGTAACCCCTAGGTGTAGCAGCAAGGGTGTCTGGGACTGTCGTTTTTGCAGACAGTACTGCTGGAACCAAATATTCCTTACCTGTCCCAGACAGGTCAGGTACAGATGCATGGGATGGCACTCTAAAGTCTATGTGAGGGGGTGTCTTTGGTTGGAAATTACAAAAGCACAATTTAGGATGTACATTTCCCTGGCTGGGATTATAAATTCAGGCAGCTACTAATTTTCCTTAGTTCTTCATTCGCTTACTCATTCATCTGCCCATTCAAGATATACTTAGTGAGTGTCTACTCTGTTGCAAACAGTGTGCGAAGTTCTGGGGATACAGAGCTCAATACAGGAGATTCCAGTAGCCCCCCAATGCTGATGTCCATGAAGGAGGGAAGTCTATAGCTGTGGATCCAGGTTGGAAACCCACATCTAGAGTTCTAGCAGGCAGGCCCCCCGTAACATTCTCGAGGGAGAATGAGATGTGTTCTGTTCTCATCTCTCCATTCAGCAAATACAAAAGGAACCAGGTATTGTGTTGGTACCGAAAATATAAAACTAACTGATACTTGGAACTTTCCCGCCCTGGCATTCAAGAAAGCAGGTTCTGAGCCACAGTGTGGCTCTTACAATTCAGGGTAGGTTTCTGGTGGGCTGAGCTGGTGCAGGATGATGTAAAAGATCAGGAGAGGATTCCCAGAGAGTTGTGAGTGTGTGGGTGAACAGTAAGTTAAGCAAGGAGTGGCCTGTCATTCCACCCTGAGGGGTCAGCACCTTCCTGGCCAGCACGGAGTCATTCTGTATTTGTTTTTCACTTTCTTGGAATTGCCCAGTCCCCCAACTCCTTTGCACTGCCACTACTTGCTGTTTCTCAATGTTGTAGTCCCCCAAAGCAAGCACAAAGTCTTTGGAGAAAAGCTTCTCAAAGTATGTTCTGTGGACTAGCAGCATATCAGCACCCCTGGGAAGGTTAGAAATGCATGGCGCTCACCCTATCAATACCAAATTGGACACTTAGCATATATAGGGAGAGGCAAGGTGTGTAGCCCTGCAGGTGTGATACCTGCTCAAGTGTGGAAACCATTGTTCTGGAGGAGTCCTAACAGATCTGTGCGTAAGTTACGACCTGATAGAATTTACTGGTTTATTCCTTTGCTTTCCCCTTCTGTAGAGACAGTCATTTGGAGTGCTAGACTCAGAACTCAGGGGGCTAAATTGCAGCCTCAGCCCCATAGTGACTTTCCCTTGGGCCCTGAACTCAGTTAAGAATCTCTCTGGAGTTGCTCTTCTCTGCTGTAAATTGAGACTCTGAGCCCAGAGGCGCAGGGCAGTTCTCTGTATCACCTTTCCCTACTTGTCCATGTTCCCCTTCCATATGGACTAAAGTAACCGACCGATAATGAGAAAATATCACTAAATCATTCTAAATGGTGCTCTTCTGACTTGAGAGAGCGAGTCCCCATTCCACCACAACTAATTAGTGGAGAGCATCCAGATCCCAAGATCATGAATGCAGACTGATGGATGTGCTCTTAATTCCCTCCAAGAACCCATAATATCGCTTAGTGATTCAGGAAAAAATCAAGTCTTGGGCCTTCATTATTTTTAATTCACTGAAGCAACAACAAATTTGATTGAAAATTAAATCTATCACAAAAGTGTTTAAGGAGGTCGCTTTTCACAAGCAGCATCAACACACTGGAAAAAACCCTCCTGCAGGCTTCACTCTTACCTGGCTCCCAGCAGAGGTGTCTTCATCCTCCCAGCCTGGAAGGGGCTTCTTGGCCATTGTGCTATCAGCATATTCAAATGATGAGCAAGTCTGAGGCCTTGGCTCTGCTCCATTCTGCTTTGGGAAGTGACTTTTCCTAAATGAGGATAGTATATGAAATCACAATCAGCATCTATCAACCCTTTACAAGTTTAGGGAGAAAGGTGGGAGGAGTATTTAGAAAAAATTTTTTTAAAAAAGATCCAAATTTGGTGGAAGCTGTGCTTCCCAACATTCTGTCCCCTGCAAGTCTGTGCTAACCACAGCATTGGCATCACTGCATGTGCATCTAGAGAATGTTCACCTTGGAGTCTGGAAGGCAAACTGTCCTTGGACCACTTGCCATAAAATATTAATAGATTTTTCAGGTTAGAAAGTGTTCAGTGTGCAAACCATTTAGGAAACACTGATTATTCTTCAAATGACAAACAGGTTTCCTTTTTGGACAACATCTCAGAGCCTTGATTGTGCTAATGGGGACTGTGATCATTTTCAGAGAGGGGATTTGGTTTTGCATTCTTTCTCACACATAATTGAGCAGGGAAACTTGATTTTCCTAGAATACCTGTTAAGATCATTCTGAATAATATGCTTTGGAAAACTTTGTTCGGAGGTGCAGAGCACCTTAATGATGGTGCAGGGTAGTTCTTTTCTGTATCACTTGAGCTTTTGTTAAATTGCAGACTTATTTGGCAGAACTGCAGTGGGCTTTTAGTTCCTTATTTCTTTTTTTTTTTTTTTTTTTTTTTTAGTTTCTTATTTCTCTCAAGCTCCCTGGAGATGCTGATGGTGCTGGTCCACAAATCGCACTTTGAGTAGCAAGGGTGTAATTAGCAAGAATGCTTAAAGAAAGTTCCTCCATTACCCAAAGTGTAGATTAACTTGCACAGTGTATGCCTTCCTCATGCCAGAAAGGAGGATTGCTGTTATTATCCTCTAGCCTCAATGATTATCAACAGAACATGTTGTGATAGCCTCTCAACAGCATTTTGCTTGTGAGCAGAGATGAAGTAATTGTATTTTTTTAAAAAGATTTATTTATGTATACAAGAACTGGGGTACAGAGGTGTGGGGCAGGGGGTGGGTGGGTAAGAGGATTCACCAGAGAGAGAGTGGGGAACAGAACAGGCAGACTGAGTGAAATACACTGCTGAGGGGGGCAGTGGGCGAGACAGGAGAGGTCTGCTGTGCCATGTGGGTAGCTCCCTGGCGGCCAGCCGGGGATTGAACTCGTGCTACAGAGGCTGTGGATAGCTTCACAGTGCTGTGCTTAACCCCTTGAGCCACCAGGGCGGCCCAAGTAATTGTATTTTCATCATCACTGTGAGATTTGTATGGTTACTGAGATATGGGGATAACAGAAAAACCGATTCAAACATGTACATTAAACAGGAAGTGACTGATCTACATTGGGCATTATCCCATTTTATCTTTGTTTCAGCTAGTTCTCCACTGCCTAGTCTTTCAAGTGAGTAACCAATGGCCGAAGAGAGAAGACTAGCCTTGGAAAGACGGCCTGACCAAGCAACGGTTTCATTTGGTGGACAGGAAGCTCCAGGATGGCAACACAAAAAGCCTTGCAGGGTGCTGACCTTGCTCCCCACCACACTGCATTTCTACAATTCTTCATGACAATTTAATTAAGACACAAACCTTAGAAAACCGGTGCAGTGAATATTAGCAACAAGATCAGAACAATCTCCCTCCTTACCCTTCTTATGAAGCAATTCGAGGCTTGCGGTTTCTATTCAATTTGTTATAATGACAGTGTTTAATCATGGAGTCTACTCGGCAGCCCGCCACTGAATTGAGGTCACACATGTGACTATTCAGGCATGGAGCACATAATCCATAACTAAGATTTTGCCCCTGAATCTCTGGAGGCTGAATCATTAATTAACAATGCATTTATTGCAAAAAAATAATATACATTATAGCCTTTGCAAACGTAGCCTTGGCTTGGAATGAGCCGAAGTTTGTGATGAAACATTCATGGCAGTTACTGTCTGAAGGAAGAACTCCGCCATGGGAATAGTCAAATCACATTTATTCAAAAATGTTTAATTAAAAGTCTTCTACTATCTCAGAAGCCTATGGTATAATCTCTACTTGTGGCACCTTTCTAATCACTGAATCATAAATGAAAATTTTTAGAGCTCTATTTCATATGCTTATGCATGTCATAAATGCAACATAAGCCAGGTAAGTTAAAAATTATATAGTATCTTCTGGGGCTGCAATAAATACATTTAATCTTGAGGGAACAATGGAAAAACTTTGACCCTTAGCCTGGTCCTTTCTTTAATCATGAAAGCGTGTTTCCATTGACAGCGACAAAGGATAGTTCTTCCCAATGGGAGGCTCAGTCCATTCTATTGCTGCGATGTACAATGTATTGCTAATATATCAAGCTAAGTCTTTTATAGTTCAACATATAAATATATTTGAGGAGGAGAGGAATATTTTAGAAGATGTATGTGTCTAGGTAGAGGGCAAACAACATTTCAGTTAAATTTATGTCTCAGACCAAAGTTGATCTATATTCAGAGCTAAGTTTTAAAAGATAAAATCCCCTGAATGTTTGCAGTGTGGGTTTTTTTCTTAATCAACTTATGGCTCCATATACCAGTGCTTACATGCTTGTTCCCTTTACATATGTGTACACTTCTCGATGTCATGTTAACAGTAGACAATGTCTAATACCTGTCACTTTACTTATGGGTTGAGAACATGGAGGTGTTAACAGCATCCACATTTCTACTGAGCAGAGATCACTGACTTGCTCGGTGGTAGATACCTTTTCTGAATCATCATGGTGGGAAAACTACCTATTTTTGAAAACCATAGGCATTTTACCTGAGGAGGCTAGTTTAGGGAGGCGACTTTGAAGAGGCCGCATCCCGCGGGCCATCATGACGGGGTCGGATGCGGAGTGAACAATGGTGTGATCTGCAGAGCCCGGGCTGTCTGCAGAGGAAGGCACTTCTCGTTGAAGGGTATGGGCTCGGATGGAGGAGACTGTACAAAGGACTGGCTGGAGAGATGAAATGGGTTCAGGGTCCTCCGGGGAGTCTGGCTGGCACAGGTAGCGTCCTGCTGAGCGGTTTCCAGAGTCTGGGAGTGGGAAGGTTCCGATCCCACTGTCCAGGGTCCTCATCTGGCAGTTTGATTCTAGACAGAGTAACAGACTGAGGATTAGAGAAAAGGCTCATGTGAGAGGATAAAAGGATCTTGAGCATTTGGATCTGATCTGAAGGAAAGAGGTGGTTAGAAGGGACAGACACTAATTAATGGTAATTTCCAATGAGTGGTTTAAATATTAAACACATATTTAATTGAGCATGAAGATATTCCCTTCACATAACATGAGGCAAGAAGGCCAGCCATTACTGGCTGCAAGCGTCACGTGGATGGTTCTCTGGAGTTACAACAGAAAAAGAACAGTCAATAGAGGTTGGAAATTAATTTTGATAATCCTTATTTCAATTGGGAATCATGACTTCAACAAATTAGGTGAACTATATTAACTGAGATAAGATGAGTAATGAGCACACATAACAAATTGAAGTGATGTCCTAACAAAGGTAATTGTGCATCTCTTACATAAATTATCATCCATTTGGTAATAAACAGTATCTCTGGCCTCTCAATTTGATGGTGAGGGCAACTAATTCACATGCTATGAGGGTCTGCCCCAAAGGCACTGTGGCTGTGGTAACACCACTTATCGTGCGGTCTTTATTTGTGTGGTGTGTGGCTTATCTAAGCCAAGAAGGCAGCTTCTAAAAAGTCTCCTGTATGTATGACAATCTTAGAAAGCAACATCCTTAGTAAATTTTATATCAGCATCTTATAAGTTAGGATTGAGCAAAAAGCACAACTTAGCACTATGTTAGCCGTGATGGGGAATATGACAATCTTTTATGAAGAGGCTCAGCAGCTAATATTTTAATGACACTTTACGGATAAGTGACTTGGAGTACAGTTTTTGTCAATAACTAATTGTGTGGTGCCTCCCCAGTGGCGCAGTGGTTGAGCGCTGGGCTGCGAAGCTGCCTGCAGCCTTTGCAGTGCTGGTTTCATCCCCGGCCGGCAGCGAGGGTTCCACATGGCGCGCAGACTTCTTCTGCCGTGTCCGCTGCTCCCCTCAGCTGTGGGTTTCATCAGTCTGCCTGCTCTGTTCCCCGCTCTGGCTCTGGTGAATGCTCTCACCCTCCCACACTTCTGACTGTACCAAGCGCTTATATGAATAAATAAACAAACAAATAAATAAATAAAATCTTAAAGAAACAACTATTTGTGTGAACCCCTGCATAAGATCCTTAACCATTCAAGGTCTCAGCTTCATTATATGTAAAGATAAAAATATGTTTGCGAAGTAATCTTCAGAATTTAGAGAATATCCAGCATACTGTGAGGCAGCTGAATGACTGAAATAATGAATGGTGACACATATGAAATGCTTAGCATACTTACTAGGTCTCCATAGCTATCTGGTAGGCAAATAGTTTATCCTTAAGAACCTTTCTTCCACAATCTAATTTGATACTGAACAATTAGTATCTGAATCTGCCCATTTCCCTGCCCTCTACATCCAAACCTCTTTGCTGTGAGGAGTAGAATTCTGGGACCTTCCTAAAGTATTGACAAAGGTTTAGCGGGTTTAAAACTGACTTTCATAGATTCTAGTGGGTTTAATGTTTAGTTTAGGAAGAACTAGGAAGACGAAGACTCCACCAAGAAGAAACTTCACTCTCTAAAGTAGGAAAATGCAGGTACCCTTTCTTCCTTCTGGTATCATTTAACCATCTCATCCACCACTGGGTTTCAGAGACTGGCCATGAACAGTGGAGGCCCTGAAATCACATGGCTCTTTTCATTTTCAGAAACCCAAAGGCTAAGCTTTAGACCCAATCATTCCAGGGACTCTCCTTGGTCAGCTTTACTATTAACCAGCTTTATAGATTATCCATTATCTTCTTTTTTTCAGTTTCTCCTCAATTACAAAATATAATTAATTGTTTCAGAATGACCTTTTGGAGAAATGATCCATTGTTTGCAGGGGAAGGCATTTCAGAGTGTTTGAAGAGAAAGATCCTGCTATTCAGAATTCAGCATCCTCCCTTCATTTTATTCTAGATAAACAAGAATCCTCAGATAGTAGGTCCCTATGTATTGGGGGATGGTTCTAAATGTCTGAAACATTTGGTTCTCACACAGGAGTAAGTGGGTTTACAATCAGAACGTAGGCAGGCTTTGGAGATGGGAAACAAGCTACACAGACATAATAGCTGAGTTGTGCCTACACACCATGTTCCTTCACTCCCATCAACATCTGGGCTGCCTACCCCCAACTAAGGAGTGCTCAGTGGGTTGGGGCATTAGGTGCTCTTTCCCTTTCGTGAAGATGGATAATTAAGTTTGGCTGTTTTTTATTTCTGTCATTTTTCATCTTCACAACTCTATAAGGTAAGAAAAATTATTGCCATTTGCAAATGAGGAATCATGATTCAGAAAAGTAACTTGCCCAAGGCCATATGCTATAAATAAAGAGCTTGGATTTGAATCCAGCTACAACTATCAAGCTATACTGATTCCCCCCAAAAGTACAGGTTAAATCCAGAAGCGGGGATGTTCAGTTAACAGTCCTTGAAGCAGCCTGGGGAGCAGATGGCACACAGAATGACCTCCCGCTCCTAGTACCCAGCTTCTCTTCTGGAATAGGTATGGGCTCTGAATTCTATCTGGGTCCCTGCACATCCCATCTTGTGACTGGAGTCTGCTATTGATACGCCTGCATTGACCAGGTTGCTGGCCTTAAACAGGATGCCTACGCATTCTGATCTGCACAGGTCAGAACTGCCTAATAACTCCCGCTGCCTTCTTGGATTACATCTGCAGATTTCTATGCCATGGTTTTTCTGGCATTTATCTTGCCTCTGTTGGCTTGGCAATAGGCATTGTCTCCAAGGGGAATCTTTTCCTGACTTTGTCTAAGAGTTTTCTCCCAAGTATTTTGCGACTCATAAAGCACTTAATCTAGTACCCTCAAATGGAGACTCAAAAAGCAAGGGAAGATTCTGGATTGCCTTTCAGTGATTTCCTGGTGCAGCACCCAATGCCCCAAAAGCCTGTGTATGTTGGCTTAGCCTGTAGCACAGGCAGCAAAGAGGGCAGAGCAGAGGAGGGATCTGGGATCAGAACAATGATGAAGAAAGTCTCATGTCCTTCTGAGGACAACACTTTCTGATATCTGTCCCTTTAAAATATTTTTTCCCCTTCACAATATTGTCATACCAGAATCTATAAAATAGGACTTTTGGTATTCCTGAGTTTTCTGATTCTCTGAGAATTGTGTGCACTGACATTAAGCTCCGAACCTACCTGCTATTAAGGCCATTTTTTACTTAGAAAAATTACAGATGCCAAATGTAGTGAATTTGAAAGACTCATTTGTAAGTACCTATGAAATGAGGTGTGGACAGTCAGGGACTCGGGTACCATACGCCAGGTTTCACCCTCAAGCAAATTTCTCTGGAATGCATAAACCTTTGGAAATGGAGTTTATATTGAAAATGCTGACACCTTCTTTATGTAGTTTCCTTAAAAGTAATGTAAGTTTCTTGCAGTTCATAAAAATAGTGCAACCTGGAAAATGCTAGATATTGTGCTTCCAAAGGCACCCTTTTCTCCAAATTAAAAGTATTCACAAAATAAGTGGCTGTAATAGGAACAAAATTCAAAGGGGCAAGCTAGTGTTGTATCTCCAGCAAGTTCACTCAGATTTGATCTTGACAAGTATAAGTTCACATTGGGGGCTGTGAGTGCAGTTGTCCACAGGGCCTTGCTAATGAGTTCAAGGGCTGGGTTCCATGATGGACCAGTGGACTTCATTCTTCCAAGGTCACACATTATGTCTCTGACCTTGGCCGGCCCTTCCAACTACTTCCCATGGTCCTATTTGCCTTCACTCTATCTCTTAAGGTGAGTTCTTTATCACTGACAAACCCCAGAGGTTTCACAGGATGACTTAGAGCAGTACTTCCCAGTCCTTTTAAAATTGTGGTACACAGAGACAATACATGGCTCCTGGGAAATTCAGGGGCCTCAGGTCCAGCGGCCGCCTGTGAGTAGAGGGCTGCTCATCCCAGCACCCCTGGGACCATTAAGGGCATGTCAATAGCAGAATGGTAGTGATTAACCTACAGAATGGGGATCTTCTTTTACCCACACCTTGAATGCATTACCTGGATTATAAACCTGCCATGCAAGGAGATGGATATCTTTATAGTCTCAAGCAGCTGATAGGGAATTTCCAGACCCTTATTTTTTGGAGAAGAATGTTTAGAATGCTGGCCTAGGAATCTTGTCTAAATGAAGCTTTAGCTAAGAAGGCCATTGTTATGCCTGAAAGGGACATGAGCTGTGTAGGGATGACCAGTCACCAAGGATGAGTGAGTTCTGTGTGGGATTGTGGCAGGGAAGAAATTCTGGAAAAAACATTTTCATGAGGGAGCTTTTAGTTGTTAACTGAGGGTGTATAATATAAAATCCTTACTCATCTCACCAATGAGAATCAACCCGTCTGCTCCTTGTATCAGGTACCTCAACAGGTGACTTTAACTTCATCATCTGAAAGTAAGATCCTATCACCACCATTAGGGTGTTTGAGGATTAGAAACAAAACACATCATAAACATAGCATGATGTCTGGGATAAGCACATAGTTATAGTTCAGAAAGCAGCAGCAAGTCTTAAAATAAGGGTTATTAGACTGTAAGAATCTTGGGGGTAGACTGGATTTTATTCATCTCTTACACCCATATGAGCCCATTCCTGATCCCACACTGCCCTTATTCAGAAGCATGATGATCAAGACTGAGAGCTGATAATTACAGGTTGATGAACATCTCATTTATTCCCCATCACCCATTGTCAGCACAGCACCTGACACATAGTCAGCTTTCATTGAGGTAGAATGAAAGAATAAGTAAATGAAAGACAGCTCTAAACTTCAGAAAATTCTTCTCTAAATTAAATTCAATATGAACCTTTGCTTTTGAAATCCCAATCTGCTTTTTTTGTTCTGACTCCGGCAAGCAAAGAAAACAGCTGACTTTCTACTTCTCTCTAGCTATTTTTCACATATAGCCAGACTTCATTAATTCAGATAGCCCACGGGATAAAATCAGT